ATGCATTCTTCATTATCATTTTTTACTTTCTTTTTTTTCTTTTCTTTTTCCTCTGCTGCTGTTAGTTGCTTTTTTTCTTCTTTGTTCTTTTTTTCTAGTTCTTGTTTCATACCTTTATTGTCTATTTCATCCTCTTCTCCCCTCCTTCATCTATTTTTTTATCCTTTTTTTTTTTTTAATTTACCATCTTTTCTTCCTTCTTTTTCTTCACTTTTTCCTTTGTTCCTCTCCTTTTCTTCCTTTTTGTTCATTCCCAACTTTCATTTTACACTCTTTCCTTCTATCACATCATCCCCATTCACACGTCCGTCTTCTTTCTTCCATCACCTTTTTCTTTTCTCCTCTCATTTTATTCCTTTCATGTTTTCTTAAGATCTTCTCTTCCTTCTCTCCTTTCGACACCTTCACTTCTCTTTCAAACTTTGTTTTTTCTTCCTCCCCCCGCTCTCACTCATGTTTACCTACTCTTTCTTCATTCACTCATAACTTCTCATTTATTCAAAATTTATCTCTTTTTCTTCTTGTCCTCATCTTTGATCTCCTTTTATTTGATTATTTTTTTTGACTTCCTCTTTTCCTACTCTTCAATATTCACCCCTTTCCTCCTTAATTTTTCTTTTTCTTCCTTCTCACCTCTTCCTCTCTTTTACTTTTCTGCTACCTTCTTTCCCAATTTCACATCTTCTGCTTCTAATCTAGTCATTCTCTTTCCATTTTAGGTAGAATGGTATTTTTCGGATCAAACACAAAGAAGTTCAAAATTATTATGTTTTTTTTTTTTTTCAGAAAATATTTTTCCCCATTTTCTCAATTTTCTCTTACAATATGCTTAACCAAACCAACAATTAATCCTTGCTATTTTTTTTTCCTAATTTTCTTTCACATAAAAAAAAAAAAATATTGCACAGTTTGGTTGACAAGCATTTTCATATCATAAAAATATTCAAAATATAAAACAACAGTAAAAGAACTAGTTAATCAGCACTTATATAATGTCTCTTTGACCAAGAAGGGATTCCCCAAGAAATTCCATATTTGGTCAAATTTTTGGAATTAAATTGACTCAAGAGCTCTGTGTGTGTATATATCAGTTATCATTAAGACAATTTTAAGAATACATGGTGGTCACAATTTATTTCTTTGAATTAAGGTTTCGATCCTAATTCATCAGACTGTCCATTCCTATATATCATCTTTGAAAATATCTATATAGATTACCATTACTCCCATATATATATATATATATATATATTTTAAAAAATGATAAAATATATCTCCATCGTGACAGAGAAATTACTATGTTTCGAAACTGAAGTTCTAATTAAACAAATTTAGAGCACGGTTTAATTCTCAAGCAATGTTAAGAATAAACTTGGATATATATATTTTTCATTTCATCTTTTGGAAGTGCTATCTGATGATCCGCATCCTTTAAAAGGGCTCTGGTGAAATAAATTATTATAATGGAACCTTAAAGTGGTCTAAAGTTTTAAAATATATATATATATTATATATATATATATATATATATATATATATATATATATATATATATATATATATATATATATAAAATGGCTCCCAATTAAGGTTGAGCACTTAACATTTATTTTTAAAATAATATTCTTAAAATAGGGAAAAAAATAGGTAATATCACTTGAGAATGAAACTCTGCTCTAAATTTTTTTAAGTTTAATTTTGAAACTGAACTTTAGGACTTGAGTTTCGGTTTAAAAAACACAGTGATTTCTGTGTCAATATAAAAAAAAAAAAAAAAAAAAAAACTTTTTAAAAAATAATAATATTATGCTCTACTTTGTATTGAGCAGTGTTTTTTAAAGATAAAACAAAGATACATTATTTACATTATTCGGACTATTGTCCTCATCTATGTCACCATATTTATTACAACGTTTCTTCAAGTGGTTGGAATGTCGACATTCCAACCACCTGAAGAAGGCCGGGGCGTACAAAGGCCGAAACATTGTAATAAATATGGCGACAAAGATGAGGACAATAGTCCGAATAATGTAAATAATGTACATAATACCTCATCTCAGAAATATATACAAAACAAAAATACTAAAGAACTTTGGTTATAAATCTGACTATTTGTCCTATTACTTATATATATATATATATAACACACTCAAATCAAATACGTTGATGTGACCAACAGATTCAATGCCCAAGAACAAAAATATCCTGACAGAAAAACAAAAAAGACAGAAAAACAAAAAAGACAGAAAAACAAAAAAGACAGAAAAACAAAAAAGACAGAAAAACAAAAAAGACAGAAAACAAAAAAGACAGAAAAAAAAGAGAAAGAAAGAAAAGAAAAAAGAAAGAAAGAAAAAAGAAAAAGAAAAAAAAGAAAAAGAAAAAGAAAAAAAAAAAAAGAAAAGAAAAGAAAAGAAAAAGAAAGAAAAGAAGAAAAGAAGAAAAGAAGAAAAGAAGAAAAGAAAAAAGAAGAAAAGAAGAAAAAAAAAAAGAAAAAAGA